AAAAAAGTCCTTAGTGAGTTAAGGACCCTGAGTGAGGCCAAGAGCTACTGAGGCAGGTCGCACCTGATGTATAAAATTATGTGGCTGAGTTCTTCTTTTGGTTGAATCTACTATAGTTAGAGATAAATTACATGTAATTTTTATGTGAAACTTTGAATAACTTGATCCCAAATAAACAAGGGCAGGACAGCCGAATTAGAAAAAATAAAAGGCAACAAAATATATTAGTGGTTGTAACTATTTAACAATTGGAATGGTAGTTTCAATTTATAGTCATTTACTTGATACATTAGAAAAATTTATTAAACAATCATCAATTATAACTATTAAAAATGTAGCTAAAGCTGCTAAAAACAAGCTCAAAAAATATTATCCAACTACAGATGGATTGGTTTATATTATTGGAACAAGTATATTTTATAATTTATATTTAATTTAATTAATTTATATATTATATTAAATATTTATTTTTATTTTAATTAATTAGTTTTAAATCCTAGACATAAATTAACCTATTATAAAGAACATGAATTTGATGATTATATTAAATTATATAATAATCAAATTAAAAATTTATGGAAATCTAAATATCAACCTTATCAAAATAATCAAAATGATAATCAAGATGATAATAATCAAGATATTGATCAAGATACTGATCAAGATAATGATCAAAATAGTGATCAAGATGATATGTTAACAAATATTTTTAAAAAAGTAAAAAGGTTAATATTGATGAATTAGATATTTATTTAAGAGATCCTGCTATTGATCCTTATAAAATTTTAGATATTTTAAATTGGTGAAAAGTAAGTATTATTATATTAATTATACTATATTATTATTATAATTAAATAAAAACTTTACTTTTAATTTATAGAGTCATGAAATTGAATTTCTTTATTTAACTAAAATGGCAAAAGATTTTTTAGTTGTTCAAGGTATAAATTTTTATATTTAATATATAAAAATTATATTTATAAATATTAAATTATAATTATATAATAATTATATATAATTTTTATATTTAGCTACAAGTACTCCAGTAGAAAGAGTATTTTCTAGTAGTAAAAATTTAATTACTGATAAACGAAATAATTTAAATCCTGAAACAATTAGAGCATATATGTGTTTAAAAGGATGGTGGAAAATTGATAAAAAATAACAAATCAATAATTAAAATAAAGTAAATATAGATTATTTTTTTTTTATTTTTTTTTTATAGTTAAGGTTAGCCTCTTTGGCTTATCACTTTTATTAGATATTTAGAATCATGTGGTGCCCTTATCAAAGGAGCCCCAGACAAGTACATGTCAATCCTATTTAATCTCACTCAAAATATGCGATACATAAGTCAGTTCAAGTTCTGAGATTGTCGCGTCCACCTATAGGACTACCAGCATGATTAACCGATTCATCCTCAAGTGCATCACCTGCTAGAGCAGTCCAGTATCCACTATTCCCGTATTACCTAGTCTTCTTCGGTAACTTATGCCTAGGCCGAGACCAAGTACTTGTGAGCCGAAGCCGCTACCGTTACCTACTACTGCCCTTATAGAGTTCACCCAAACCCCGGTACATCTACAGACTTTTCCCGGTCATAATATCAATTCCAAACTACCAATCCAGATGGCCCAGAAGGGCTGTGACCTGCCCCTAGTCCCCACGATTAGGTCCTTTTCCTCTGGTTACTCTTCGACGGCCTGGTTGGTGGAGTGTCTTACTGAACACTTAAGTCCCGTTTAGTTTATCTGGTTTCCTAGGTAGTAATCTGTATGTAGTACCGTTAAAGATCTGTGCTACCTCTCTACTCAGGACTTTCCAAGCGAGCACCCCACCACCGTATTGGCCCTGTGGCTTTCTGTGATTCCAAAAAGACTTATCTTGGGTTTGCACTGACTAAACCGGCTTGCATGCCTTTGTGTAACTCCTTTATTACACAAATGCCCCAGAATTTTCTAATTTTTATCTTGGTATGACCACAGTTACAGAGTCTCGAGTTTTCTCAGCCACGATGATAGTTGCCGAATCTGTTTTTCTAAATTCAATTTTTCGCCTTCCGTGGGAATTGAACTTATACTCTACCGCTTGAAGGTGCGACAACTTCACCACTTCACTAAGTCGCCACATCCGGATAACAACTATTATAACAAAGTATATATTTTGTAAACATATTTAATATTATTAACTTTTGAAGATTGTATAATAGATACTTCTCAAATATTTATAAGTATTAAAGAAATATTATCTAATTGTAAAGACTTGTCAAAATCTAATAAATATAAATAGATTTAAATTAAATTTAATAAATTGAATTATAGAGTTTGTTGATATTTAAATATCATATATAGCAAATATATTTATTATTTAATAAGAATTTTTTTTTTAAAGTAAGGTTTTGTCTTTATTTTTATTAATAATTTGTATTAAGAATCTGCTAAGGGTTTCTCTGGTTAGAGCTAATTTACAAAAATCTTTACAAGAATGAAACTCAGACTACCAGAAACTATCTAAACTAAAAATTTTGATTTATCTGTAATCTAAACCTATCAAAGTATTAAAACTTACTTAGATTTAATAATATAAGAAATTATTAGTTGGAGTACTAAATTTAATCTATATAATAGTTCATAAAGATATTTTTCTAATTGCTTTGCCAAGAGATAAACAAATATTATTATTATGTTATTGGTCTGGCAGGCTACAAAGGCAGCTATAAATACATAGTATTCTGTATTGTACTGTACTTTGAGTAGTTGTTGTATGGGTAGTTGTTATATTGTGGTTAGATTTAAAAAATTTATTATTTTGTTGTTTTTATTATATAAGTTTAGTGCAATATAGTATCTATAACTAATTATATATGTTTTATAATAATTGTAAAAGTAGTTGAATAGTTATTTTTGATGCAATTTGAATAGAATCTGTATATTTTCTTATAGTTTATATAAGAGATATAGGAATAAACACTTATATAGATGTATATAGGTTAATATTGTTGTGCTGATAATTAGATAAAAAGCTTGAATGGTTTATAAGCTTGGTTTGTAGTTCATATAATTGTATGTTAATAATATTTAATTTGAAATATTTAACAATAAATTTTATATTCTTGATAATTGCATTTACTAGTCTTTGTAAAACTAAAAATATTTTTAAGCATTTTAATTAATTAAATAATAATGAAAATAAATTAAAAACTTGAGTATATCTTTCTGTTTTTTATGATTTATATTAATGATTTGAATCAGTTAGGCTATAATCAGTTAATTGATCTGAACTGAATAAATTTTAGTTAACCAGTTGAGAAAATTCTTAATTGGTTAACCTGATACAACTGGTTGAGAATTGGATAATTAGTTAGCGGAATTAATATAATATGAAAATGATATAAGGAGAGAGTAAAAGGACTGAAAGGTTTTGAAAAAAATGAATAAACATAAAGACAAAACAAAAAAATTTGAGTAAAGCACCAAGAATTTCTGATAGTAGTAAATAATTAATCTTAACTGGTTGGCAATTGGTTGAATAAAATAATTTGGTTCAGTTAACTAATTAAAGAAATTTTTCTTAGTTCAAATCACTAATCTATATACAGACTTTAAAAGTAATTAGCATTCTTAATTTTTAATAATTATTCAAACAAAATATAGTAATAGATAATTATATTAAAAAAGATAAAAACAAAATTTTAATAATAATGATTACAAATTGAATTTTAATAAATATAAAGACATGGCCTCACCTTTGAAAATAAAAAAAATACAATAATAATTACAATCTTAATAGTATAGTTTTTTAAAATAATTCTACAATTTTATGATTTAAAAACAAAAATATTTAATACTATTATATAATTTGTTACAAGTATATAACTACCTGTTGCAAGCAGATCAACTATACTCTCAATCAGGTATCTGCTTTCCCTTGGGTTAAGCTATATGAAAAATTAGCATCTGGTATAAATATTAGATCAAATATAGTTTTACTTTAAATTTTATTTCAACTTAAAGAATCTAGATGAGTCTTTGATCACTCTAGTGGGTTTAGGTTGCAGATAAATATGTCTAAGCTTTTATTTTTGTATATAAGTTTTATTTTTATTTGTACTTGTACAAGTAGTAGTATTTTTATATAAATTTATGTAGTTACTATTCTCAAAATTACTAATAAAGATATAAGCAAGACCTCACCTCAATATCAAAAAAAAAATACCTACCTGTTGCAAATACAAATTACCTTATAACACTTTAATTTTTCACAACAATATCTACAACCCATCATATTATATTCAGGATAAAATGTATGCATTTGAATAACCAACTTGCAAATCTGTTAAAAATATATATAATGTTTATATAATAGCTATGTGATTATCACAACACCAAATAGACAATGTTATAGCTATATCATCACAAATTAACTAAAATACAATCTGGCTTACCTTAATAACAACTTTAAAAAATCATCTAACTATACTAACTTTAAACTTTGTCAAGAAAACTTTTAGAATAAAACTTATGCTTAACATATTTCTAACTCTGCCTTATCAGCACACACTATACTCTTCATTGCTTCTAATAACCAACTGTATCACATATAATATACCAGAAAGCTAATTACACTGGCTCACATGCCCTAATCAATTTAACTTAAGTTTAATAGTTATTATACAACAGTTTCTTCACCCAAATAAACTCAATATATTTAGAATTAAACTTCAAGAATTACATACCAAACTTATTAACCACCAGAGCTTTTTATTTAATAACCAAAACAATAACACAAATTTGTATTTTACTATACTAGGTTTAACAGACGAACCTAGTATCACCCTAAAGATCAGTTACGTTTTAGAGCTCAATATTTAATTTAACTCCGAATTTTTGCTTGC